ACACACAGAGTCACACGGTCAGGAGCGAGAGAGCGAGATGCAATCATGCCCTATTTATCCCCCAAATGTCCCAGAATCCATTCCTGCTAGCTCCGCCCTTAGGTCCTCGCAGTTCTCTCCCTTGGTACTGCTGGGAGTTGTAGTTTCCAACACTGGAATAGTGTGTAGGGTCCAGAAAGCTGGAGTAGGGCGTGGAGTCCATAAGACTCTGCAGAGTTCCTTTAGGAAATCCTTCCCCTTAACAAAACCATGCATATATGATCAACTAATCTACAACAAAAGAGCCAAGAATATACACTGGAATGAAGACATCTTCTTCAATAAATGGAGCTGGGGAAATTGGCCTGCCACATGCAAAACAAAACAGATACTAAATTACTATCTTACACTGTTCACAAAAAAAAACTAAAAATGGGTAGAAGAATTGATTTTAAGATCTAACTATAAAATATACATAGCCAAAACACTCCATGGCATAAACTTCCAAAACATCTTTGAGAATTTACTTCTAGAAGCAAGGAAAACAAAGGAGAAGATGAACAGCTGGGACTACATCAAACTAACAAACTTCTGTACAGCAGAAGAGACAGTAATCAAAATGAAGAGAATAAGAGAAAATACTTACACACCATACAACTGGTATCAAAGATCTATAACAAATTTACACAACTCTACCAAAAAAAAAAAAGAAAAGAAAACAACCCAGTCAAAAAAAAAAAGGGCACAAGTGCTAAAAAGACATTTCTCCAATGAATTGTGAATGACTGTGAGGAGCTTAGATTATTGTGTGCCTTACTTATTCTGTTTCTTTGCCTTGATTATTCTATGCTTTGACTATTCTGTGCCTCACAGTGTTCAGAAACGGGGAGTTTGAGATAAGGAAACTCTCAGAGCAAAAGTTCTGGTGTGAAGATAAATACATGCTGAAGACAGCAAGGGAAGAAACAGCAACAGGTGTTACGCTTAGAGTAGCAGAAACACTGAGGCTTCGCTTGACTCCCTTGATCTCCCAACCTTAGCTGGGGCCAGCTGTTATTTATGAATGCCCCACACACTTGTGTTCCCCTTTTGGCTGCTTGCTTCTTTGATCTTTTTTATTTTCTGCCTGATTATAAATAATAACAAGACTGTTATTGTAGCAGGCTGCATTTGTGGTAAAGCCCCTCTACACTTACTGTTCTGCATATGGACTCTTGAGTCCCATGTCAAACACAGTAAGTTGGGGTGGGAATATACAAACAGAATTATTTTTGTTTTCAAATAAAAATACTGTGTATCGCCCATAAAGTGTAAATCCACTCAGTGTGAACAGTGATTAGCTTCTCACGTGAGTAAGACCCTAATCCAAATTGTAGAAGCTCTTCAGGAAGCATGTTGCTCTCATGATACTTCACTTATCCCCTTCATGTATGTCAAGCTTGACACATTTGACAGTGTCAATGTGACTAATCAGTGAAGTCAATGTGACTAATTTCTCTGGAAATCAACAAATAATATATGTCTTACAGTACTACTCCACTCAAAACATTTAACAAAACCAGAAAAAGAAACAGTCCATGAGAGTCATTGATCCATCATTGTTTTTCATTGTACTCTCTTGGTATAGTAATTTTGATGATAATATCCCAATCAAATAATTTGGGAAGTAATCACTCCTATTTTGAGGAAGAGACTGTAAAATTTATGTTAATTCTTTAAATGTTAATAAAATTCTCAAAACTATCTTTTCCTTTAGAAAAATCTTTAATTTACAATCAAATTTTTACACAGCTATAGGATCATGCAAATGATATATTTCAGCTTGGTTGAGTTTTCATGTTTCAGAAAATGGTCCATTCCTTCTACCTTGTCAAATTTGTGAGGTAAAACTGTTCATAAAAATCTTACCATTTCAATGACTACATCATCTATAATAACTAATAGTAAGCTCTGCAATTTCTGGACTTTTTATTGATTTTTCTCTTTATTGGGTATCATTTTCAAATTTCTTATATGCCATAATTCTTGACGACAAAATACTGTATATTTTACTTTGTTGGATGAGAGCTACTTTTGTGTCCAAATAAATCCTTTTTAATCTTTTTTTCTGCAGTTCATTCTAACTACTTGAAAACAATTTGATCCCTCTGGCTCTGATTTGTTAGGTGGACCGGAGCAACATTTTAATGTAGTTATTTCCCACTATTCAGGCAAGACCCTGCTGAACATTATTCCCAGTGCCTCGTGAATTGTAAATTCTTTCAGTTTAGTTAGCAGAACAGGCTTTAGTTTGTCTTTTGTGAGCTCCAGTTACTGTTTCTTCTTTCTTTCAGCTATTTTTGTCCCAATCTCTGATAATTTTTTGCACACATATCTTAACCAACATGCTCTTGATTACAGGAAATGAAACTTTTGCAAATCTCTAGAGACTATAGAGATTTCTTGGCCCTTTCTAAAAATCTTTCTCCTCTTTTACTTTTTCTTTCCAATCTAAACTCACACAGAATACCTGTGCATTCTGTCTCAACTTCGCACTTCTGCCCCTTGTTCTGCGCCACTCAGTCTCCCATCTCTCTGCCTACATAGGCCCATCTTTCGCACTTGTTGGGACTGACCAAAGATTTACTGAGAAGAACTGAACTGGGCCGGTAAAGAATTGAGCCTTGCATCCAAGCTTGATAAAGTGATAGTAAACTGACCTTGAGATCCTGGATGGGACTAGCTGAAGGTGACAGTGAACTGGGCCTCACCTCAAGGACACAGCGATGAGTCACCCCTTTGGAATCTGAGTTTAGAATCTATATAAGAGACTCTTCCCCCCTATAGGACTAGCAATAGCTGTGGACCCTACCCTAGGGGCTCTGTCTCAGCTGCTTTCCGGGAGCAATAAACTCTGCTTGCTCAACCTTTCTGTCTCCTGCCTTTCTTTCTTGCGGCCAGTCACAGGAGTTGGGACAAAACAGCCCCCAACACCACTTTTTCTTATTCTTTGCTTTCACCTTCCTTCTTTCTGGTCTCCTCTCCACTTTTTTTTTTTTTTTTTTTCAGTTGGCCTCACCAACCCATCACTGCATTAGTACTTTCCCTTAGAGGAGTACTTACAATGGTTTTTCCATAAAATCCATTACTACTGTGAATACTTTTCTCTGCCCTCAATGGAACTCTGCATCCCTTTAGCCTTGCTTTCCCACCAATTATCCCAGTAGAGAGTTGCATGCTTTCACCCCTCCATGCAAACAGAATCTCCCAAATTGGGCTGGACTATTAACAACTCATTTAAATAGAGTCGTCAATGAGAATATTGTATCATCCCAATTCTGCCTCATTCACCAAATGCAATTTTCTAATAGACAATGTATTACTCAAGTGTCTTCCCCTATTATCCTATAAAACCTCTAGAAAAATCTGCATCTTATTGGTTTGTATAATCTTTCATTTTACTGCCACCTCCCTTTTCTGCCGCCGGGTTGGTTCAGCCCAACCTCCGGTGGGTGGGGAGAGGGGGAATATCCTCCACTGTGCGACGTTCAAGATGGCGGCCCCCATAGCACAGTGACCGGGAGCTGCCATGTTGCCTCCTGAACAAAGCGGTCCAGTAATCTAGAGGTCCAAACCGCCGTCCAGTACCGAACGGCGCAGGCTGAAAAGTCTCGCATCCGATTCACCCGGTCTGGAAGCCCGAGAGTTCGCCACTGTAGCTATTGTCATAGCTGCCCGATGTTAAGTGGTGATGGGCGTTTCAGGACCTGGTAACGGAGCCGCAGGTCCGCAGCTGGATCTGTTTGATACGAGTGAGTCTCTGGAATTGGTAATGAAGAGCGGCCCGGGGAACGTCAATCTGTGGAGGTTTATGAGGTCTCCTGTGAGGGAGAAGTGTGGGGTTAGTGTTAGGTTTGTTTGGGAGTGAAGGATGACGTGAGCTTGTCGATTAGTAATTGGAAGATGATGTGCCAATGACGGGGTTATCTGTGGGATCAGAAGTGTCTGTGGGGGTATTGATAGTGGAGGTCGGTGATTTCTAAGACTAGGGAATCTGTGATTTGATTGGTGAAGGGGTTGTAGACTACACGACCTGGGCATCCCTGTGGTTGTCAGGGATGGGCATGGGTTGCTCTGTAGGGGGATATGATTGCTAGACCCAGAGATTCAGGCGATCAGCTCCAATTTACAAGGCAAGATTTTAATTAGTACGTTAAAATGTCCACACGTCATAGGCAACCGTGAAGTTCTTAAAAGCCAAGCCATGAATCCACTGTTGCTTCTTTAGCCATTTTATTCCTTTGAAATGATCATTTTAAAACAAGACCAAAGAAATCAAAAGGATAGGAATATTATGAATAGTGTGCTTTTAGCCCTATCTTTTTCTCTCCTAAATTTATTGAAATTATTGTATACTTTATTCAAAATACATACATCTATTGAGCATCTACTATGAGCCCATAGATGAGTATGATTTTCTCCTGGTTGTTTCTTTCCAGATCTGTTTGACAAAGCTTAAAATACCCCCTATGAAACAGTCTCATTGTCATGGAAGTTCTCATTTCCTCTGAACTAGTTCAGCCCTGTCTGCATGACTCCTCTTTGGACTGAGAAAAATTTAACAGGTGTTTACCTTCTTGCTTTGCAGTATATTCCTTTCTGTCAGTGCCATAGGAATACTTGTTCAATGCCTGATGAAAACATTCTACAAATAGAACTGCTGGTTCATGTGAGGAGAATTCATTGAAAATATTCTACAAAAAGAACTGCTGGTTCATGTGAGGAGAACTCAGATGTTACTCAATATGAAACATTTTCATATCTATGCATTTAAAAACTTGTTCTTTGTAATGATAATGTGGTCATAAGAGAACTTTCTTCACATAATTTTACCAGTCTGATGAGTATCCTACAGGATACTCATCTCACCTGACTTCTGCCAGGTCTTGTTTCTAGACTGATGAATGGGAAAGATGTAGCTTAGGTCTGGTCTGTAAAAATAGCCCACTAACAATGAATTTTGTTTATTCAGGCATCTGAACTTTTAGAAGAAAGCAGAAAATGATGAAGTCCCAGGTGAGTGCTTTTATTTATTTTTCAGTTATTTATTTACTCATTCATTCATTCATTCTAGTCCAATATGATTGATAAGGATAGAAAGGATCGTGCAAATGATATTCACACCTGTGAATTTGTGGGATGTTTTCATTAGTTGGCAGCATGGATGGTACTAAAGTATCAAGAGGAAAGAACATTAAATTTGTAAACAGGGATTATGGAATCTCTATGGGTGGTTTGGCTTTTCCCAGTGGGCTAAAACAAAGTCATGTACTGAGCGCAAAAGTGAGGAGAAGGACTTCGACTACTGAACATTCTAGCAGAGAGGAAAAATTCAGACCCTTTAGATCCTTGACACTCAGAAGGTGATCTGCAGAAAACAGATGGCCTGGGATTTATTTGGAATAAATCTGGGGTAATCTTCTCCACACCAAACAAATCAGAATTTGCACTTTACTAAGATTTCAGGTGATTTATAAGCCAGTTGTTCTTATGTTTGCACACTGGAATTACCAGGATTTTAAAAATCTGGATGGCCAGACTACATTCAATCTGTGTTCCTAGAGTCCATGGTTTATAAAATTACCCAAATGAGGGCTCTCCCTGGTGGCGCCGCGTTATGAAGCTCTCCAAAGCCACTGCAGCACAAGTTCAATCCCCAGCCAGGTTGCTAACCCACATGGCATGGGCAGACCTCTCTTCACCTGCCAGCTGCTCCCCTCAGCAGTATATTTCAGTAGATCTGCCTGTTCTCTGCTCCCCACTCTGTCTCTGATGAATCCTCTCACCCACCACACCTCCAGCCTGTATCCCAGTTCAGTAAGCATAAATAAATAAATCTTTTTTAAAAAAATTACCCAGATGAAACCAACACTGGTTTACAGTATGAGCAATTTTGATGAGCAAGTATTCTGGCTAGGTAGGCAAGTGAATGAATTCTGGAAAAACCCCTAGAAGTTAATTCTGGTGTAGAAAGAGACCATTCTGGTCCACCCTGAGTTTTTCTCCAGCTCTAAACTGCTGCAGGAGCGCAGGTACATAATAGGCAGTGGTATGGATTTAACAAGGGTTGGGTTTTATTAAGCAGTTGAGAACAGGTGATGGTCTACCTTCTCTCTCTTTTCTCACTCTTACCCTTTTTAAATGAAATAGCTCAATTTGTAGCTTTCAGAAAAAGATTTACAAAGAAGTTAATAGGTGAGTACAGTTTCATCAGATTTTCCCATTAGAGTTATGCAAATAACTAATAATATTGATTTGCATTACATATATGTACATGGCTTTTTATTGCATTTTATTGTTGAAACCTGCATAAACTCAGTAAATCTGTGGGACCCCTTCATTGCTTTTTTATTTTTTGCTTTCTTCCCTCTTTCTTTTTTAAATTTATATCAATTTCTAACTTCCTCTAGAATTCTTTTCTTTTTAATTATATAATATACATAGAAATTGTCTGCAAAGAAATGTACCAGAAAAATAACAATGGTAATTTCAACATGACTAAATTATAGGAAATTTTAGAGGTTTTTGGTTTTTTTGTAACTCAGCAGCCTGTCATGCATTTATTTATTTGTCTGTTTATATTATTTTTCTTTTTCACCTTTTATCTCCCTTAGCCATTCCTCCCACTCCACCCCCACCCAACCCTGCCTCTGGTGACCACCAGAGTGCTCTCTGTACCCGCAAACTTCATGTTATTTTTTTCTTCTTAATTCTACATATGAAAGAGATCATGTGATAATTTTGTCTGACTTACTTCACTTGACATATTACATATTACATATTTAATATGAATGTTCCATTCATCCATTCATGTTACAACAGCAAGATTTCATTCATTTTTATGATGAAAAAATATTCTGTAGTGCGTGAAAGTATGTGTGTGTGTGTGATTATGTGTGTATTTATACAGTTGCTTTAACCAATCATCTGTCATTATATACTTAGGTGTTTTCATGTCTTGACAATTGTAAATAATATTGCAATGAACATATGAATATGGGGGTGCAGATATCGTTATGAGATGATTTCATTACCTTCAGATAGATATATACCCAGAATTGGGATTTCTACATTCTAACTAAATTCTATTTTTTAATTTTTTGAGGGGTCTCCATACTGTTTTCCATAGTGCTTGCACCAAATTGTACTAATTTATATTCTCCACAAAAGCGCTCTTTTTTCTCCACGTCCTCTACTACATTTTTCATATCTTGTATTTTTGATAGTTTTAACAGGTATAAAATGACATTGTGACTGATTTGCATTTCCCTGATGATTAATGATATACACTTCTTTTCCTCACCTTTTTTGGACTAATGTGTGTTTAGATCTTCTGCCCAGTTTTTCAAAGGATTGTTTTTGGTATTTGTTTGTTATTGAGTGGTATTGAGTTCTTTATATAATTTGGATAGTAATCTCTTATAATAAGATCTATGATTTGTAAATATTTTCCCATTCCAACAAATGATCAATTTTTTGATGATTTTTCTTTATCCTGTAAAAGCTTTTTAGTTTAATACATCCCACTGATTTAATTTGGCTTTTGTTGCTATTGGTGTCATATTTAATTTTTAAAATTTCCTCCTTTGTTTGCTACAAATAAGGAAATTATAAATAACTAAAATTGTGGTTAGGAAAAATGTATCCAAAATAAAAATGAAAATCTGGAAGGAATAGGTAAATAATATAGCTTAAAAAACTATTCTTAAGAGTTGATATACCAGTTTTTCTGATCTTTCTTACAGATATCATCAATTAAATGACTTGTAGTCCTCTGTAGGAAAAACATACATATCCCATAGGGAAAAATTATTTCTTGCAAAGTAAGACAAGAACAGATTTCCCTTTGTGTCTTTCCCTAGGTGACAGAGTACACAATATTCTCACCAGCCCTCCAGTAATCGATCACAAAATGATCTCTTTTACAGGAAAAATAGAATGTTAGAGCCAAACTCCTTGAACTTTGTCCTCTAGAGCTGGGATCACCAAGCTATTGCCTGTAGGCAAAATCCAGTGCTCCCTTATTATATACACAGGTTTTTGTGGGGTTTTTTTTATTATTATTATTACAAAAGTTTATTTTTACATCATTTTGTACATTTTTTTTCCATCTCAATTGTAATCCCCGCGGGTTTCCCATCACCAAGTCACCGGTGTGCCATCACCATAATCCTGTGCATTTCCCTCCCCCCACCCCCGTTATTGATCCCATTCCCCACTCCACCCTTTTGTGGGGTTTTTTTTAAGATTTATTTATTTATTCATACAGAACTGGGGTACAGACTAGAGGTACAGGAGCAGTGAGAGTATTCACCAGAGACAGAGTGGGGAACAGAGCAGGCAGATCAACAAAGTACACTGCTGAGGGGAGCAGCGAGCAAAACAGGAGAGGTCTGCCACGCCATGTGGGTCACCTCCGGGGCAGGGAATCGAACACTCACTGAGTGGCTGCAGCTAGCTTGCAGTGCTGCATCCCAACCTGTTGCACCACCAGGGAAGGCCCTATATACACAGTTGTATTGCCAGCACAACCATGCCACTTAATTACGTATTGTCTGTGCCTGGTTTTGTATAGTGTTGGGTGCTAAGATCATATGGCCTGAAATGCTGAAGATATTACTTGACTGAAAAAAAGTTTGTTGAGAGGAGCAACATTACCTAACACTAGTCACTAGTGTTTGGATAGCACTAGTTATCCAAAATGTAGATAACACTGCACATTTTGAATAATCTTCCAAAATAGTTCTCAAAAGTGAGTTCTTATACTCTAGTTATCTGGCAAAGCTTTCAAGAGCAAGTCCCTGATGCTCTGTCCTCTTTGCTGTGGTTTCAGGTTGTAGGGTTACAGTCCAACACAAGGCCAGTTCCTTCTCTGCTTTTTCATTTTTAAGTCTATTATTCCTTTTCTCCCTGCCATATTCACTGTGTACATGATAAATTATTTTGTTTCATTATGTTAATAAAATAAAAATTCCATAACAGAGAACTTACACTCTACTCCTCCTGAGATTACCAGTGTTCATGTTTCTAACCTTCATACCTTTCTGAATAACTGTGACTAAATGTATATACACGAAATTACAGATGTGCAAGTGTCTCTTTTTCCTTATACTTTTCTTGTAGAAAAATAATTTTTAAGTAACCATTCCTTTGTGCACCTTGATTTTTTTTTTAAGATTTATTTATTTGTGCATACAGAACTGGGGTACAGGCCAGAGGCTCAGGGGTGATGAGAAGCTTCACCAGAGACAGAGTGGGGAGCAGAACAGGCAGATCGAGGAAGCACACTGCTGAGGGGAGCAGCGGGCGGATCAGGAGAGGTCTGCCGCGCCATGTGGTCACCTCCGGGACAGGCAGGAATCAAACTCATGTGGAAGTGGCTTTAGCTTCTCAGTGCTGTGCTTTAACCCGCTGCACCACCAGGGAGGGCCCCTGTGCATCTTGATTTTTAACATTACTGTCCAGTTTAGAGATCTCTGTATGCATTTTGAATACTTTCCATGTCGGTACATGTGATTTCCCTTTACTTTTAGCAGATTTACAATATATCCTTGTGACTGGAATTGTTTCCTCATCTGTAAAATGGCAATTACAATCATTGTATGGTTTTGAGAATTAAGTGAGTACAAATCATACTTAGAACCATAAATGGAAATGGCTTATTCTTTATTAAAGTGTTAGCTATTATTACTATTTGAAATAATAATTCATTTTCATTTTGAAAACAGTATTTGATAAAGTGTTAGAATATTCAGGGGAAAAAACTGAAAATTGTTTAAAATAATAAACCATTCACTTTTCACTACTAGATGACAGCTGTTGTGAATATAATGATAATGTAATTGAAATAGTCAACTTTCCCTCTAAAAATATCTATAGCTCTAAACTTACCCAAGTCCTTTATTTTAATGTCACAATAATTTATTGGGTTTTTTTTTTTCATGAATGTTATCTGAAAATTCCATGTGTCTATTCAGCAATGATGTTGTAATTGGTATACTTCATTACTTTACATATATATTGGAAAACAGCTGGAGTCAGGAGAAACTATGACTATTTTCCTATGAAATAAGAGGATAGATTATGATCTTCAAGAACTATGACACTCTATGATTTTCTTTTTACTTAAAAGACCTCTTCTGCTCTACAATTATTAAATTCTCCAATGTTTTGTTTTATAATTTTTATAGTCTTAGATCTTTTTGAGTTTGCAGTTTTGCTTCATCCAGAATAATGGTTTTGTTCTTCTATTTTCCATGCTGTAAGAGATGGTGTATTCAGTGCTAAAGCTGCTGTAGCAAAGTGCCACAAAACTGGGTAGATTGAATAACAGTAAATTATTGCCCCATCATCCCAGAGACAGTGCTGTAACAGGGCTGTCACTTCTGAGGTCTTTGGAAAAGATATCTGTTCCAGACCTCTTCCCTTGACTTGTAGATGACTGTCTTCTCCCCTTGTCTCTTCATATCACCTTCCTTGCATCTGGCTGTTCAAAAAATTTTTTGGTAGAGACGTCAGTCATACTGGAGTAGGTACCATTCTGTTGACCTCGTAAGAATTCACTGCAATATCCTTTTTCAAAATAAGGTCTCAGGATGTAAGGGTGATCTGGCAGCGACTTCTGTCACCCCACAGATCACCAGAGCCGATTCGTTTGATCTGGCTCGCTAGGCAGGTGTCCCCTTCTTCCCTCACCACTCGGGAATGTGTGACATTCCCGAATCTGTGTGCTGGGTCAAAGAGCATGGCCTTCCCTGAATAGCGAGGGCCTGTTCTTCAGACAAGGGTATACAAGTAGCTGTACTCCCCTACTATAACCTCCAAACAAGCTCTCAGAATAAGGTCTCACACATTGAGGAACCCTCAGCACCTCAATGAGTGAACAGACTATGACATGTAAATTTGCAGGGGATGCAGTGCAACCTGTAATATGGATTCAGTATTATTCTTTTTCCTGTCAACTATCTAGTCATCTCAGTACTATCCATTGCATAATGTATCTTCCAGTTATTTGAATGCTCACCTTATCATTTATTAAATTCCATTTCTATTAGGCAAGCATTTTAAGATTTACCTCTTCTGTTTTCTTGTTCTATGTGGCTCTGCTTGCTAAATATTTACATTATTTCTCCCAAATACTATGATACACATTGAATGAGAGTATACTGTTACAGGAGTCAGTATCGTTCAAAGATGTGGCTGTGGATTTCACCCAGGAGGAGTGGCAGCAACTGGACTCTGCTCAGAGAACTCTATATAAGGATGTGATGCTGGAGAACTACAGCCACCTGGTTTCAATAGGTAAGGATGGCTCCCTACATAACTCAGTGTTTCCTGGTTTCAATAGGTAAGGATGGCTCCCTACATAACTCAGTTATCAGCTGCTGTGGTTGGGTGGTTCCTGACATACATAATGACATACATAATGATCTTCATGCCTTCCCAAATGCTAAGAGCCAAGTGGACAATTTCACTGTAGACCTCCTCAGTGGAAAATGCATCTTTTCTTTTTGTCATGCAGTCAATACCATTTCTTATGTGATTTTCATGTGATAGGGTTTCCAGTTTCCAAACCAGATGTCATCTCCAAGTTGGAACAAGGAGAAGACCCATGGATCATAAAGAAAGAGATATCAAATTGGATCTATCCAGATGAAAATCAGGCAGATGGGAGACAAGGAAAGTAAATTTTTTTAATTGATTGTTTCCCGAGGCATATGTTTCTGACCTTAGTTGAAACCTGTTATTCTTTGTTCCTGTGCTGAGAATTTAGTAGATATTTAGCAAATAACTGATGTATTCATGATACCAAAAGGCGAGGGTAAAGTCAAATGGTGGGGAACAAAACCTTGATGTTAGAGAAATATGGCATTTTGGGGACAACTTTGTGAGGAAGCATTTATGGAAGTAGTAGAATTAAAGTGTGATTCTTGGTGTGACTAAATTCATAGCAAGACCGTGGATTTTTCTTTGTGTTAGTTGTTAATTAGGAAAGTAAACTAAAGAGGATTAAAGTATTTTAAGAGCAGAGGAGACCTTGTTTCTCCAGATGGCAGTGACAAGATAATAATAAGATATGTATAAGACAAATTGGTTATAAAATAAATGAATTAAAATGGTTAAAAATGTTTCCAATCATAAAGTGGAAAAGTAGAAGAGTAATTTAAAAGCAAAGTCACAATAACCCAGGTAATTTTGTTCCTTCAGGTCTAGTTTTTCCACGAATATTTCTCTTTAATATCCTTATCTATATGATTTCATAAGGTTTTCTGCAATCATCAGGCCACCCTGTATGCTGTAATGTCTTCCTAGATAGCATGTCTCTAGATAACATACCCCTGTTTTTTGAGTTCATTAACTACATTGAATCAATCATATGCTATACTTCTATACAATGTTAATTATTCTTTTTGACTGATTTTATCTTTCTTTTAGATATGAAGAGTGACCTTGACAACCCCCAATCATGTATTTTGGGATCTTTGTCCTTCCATAATAAGATGCTCAAAGGAATCACAAAGGATGGTTCCATATACTCTATTTTAAAAGTCTGTCAAGATAATGACCAGCTGCAGAGATGTGAGGAAAACCAAGACAAACTTTTCAGAGAAGTCACAGTCATCAGTAACAAAACAGTGATGGTGGATTCAGACCATAAATATAATGCACTGAGGAAAATATTTCAAGAGTGCATAGGGACAGTTGATTCAAGACAAAGAAGCCATAACTATGATTCATTTAAAAAGAACTTGAAACCTACTATTGACTTGCCTAATTGTAATAAGAGCTATTCAAGAAAAAATCCTGATGAGTCTAATTCTAATCTTGAGAAAATTCACAGTGGAGTAATATCTTGTGATGATAATCAGTGTGGAAATATTTTCAGCAGTAAACAATCCCTTTTTCCATATAGGAATGTTGAACCTAGGGAGAAAACCTGTGTATGCATTACATGTGGAAAAGCCTTTGCTAAGAAATCACAGCTTATTGTCCATCAGCGAATTCATACCGGAAAGAAACCATATGATTGTGGTGCATGTGGGAAAGCCTTCAGTGAAAAGTTTCATCTCATAGTACATCAGAGAACTCATACTGGTGAGAAGCCTTATGAATGTTCTGAATGTGGAAAAGCCTTCTCTCAAAAATCATCACTCATTATACATCAGAGAGTTCACACTGGGGAAAAACCATATGAATGTAGAGAATGTGGGAAAGCCTTTTCCCAGAAATCACCCCTCATTATACATCAGAGAATTCACACAGGAGAGAAACCTTATGAATGCAGAGAGTGTGGCAAGGCATTCTCCCAGAAGTCACAACTTATTATACATCATAGAGCTCATACTGGAGAGAAGCCATATGAGTGTACAGAATGTGGGAAAGCCTTCTGTGAGAAATCTCATCTTATTATACATAAAAGAATTCACACTGGGGAGAAACCCTACAAATGTTCTCAATGTGAAGAAGCCTTCAGCAGGAAGACAGAACTCATTACACATCAGTTAATTCATACTGGGGAGAAACCTTATGAATGTACTGAATGTGGAAAGACCTTCTCCAGGAAGTCACAACTCATCATACATCAGAGAACACATACTGGAGAGAAACCTTATAAATGCAGTGAATGTGGAAAAGCCTTCTGTCAGAAATCACATCTCATTGGACATCAGAGAATTCACACAGGAGAAAAACCTTATGTATGCACTGAGTGTGGGAAAGCCTTCTCTCAGAAATCTCACCTCCCAGGACATCAGCGAATTCATACAGGAGAGAAACCTTACATATGTGCAGACTGTGGTAAAGCTTTTTCCCAGAAGTCAGACCTTGTTTTACATCAAAGAATTCATACTGGAGAAAGACCTTATCAATGTGCTATATGTGGCAAAGCCTTTATTCAGAAATCACAACTCACTGTACATCAAAGAATTCATAACAATGGTAAAATAATGAACTGAACACAGAAAGGCCTTTACTATTAGTTCAAGCCTTAATAAATCTAAAAAACTTGATTAATTTGACCAGATTCTTTCTGGAAGACATTTTTGTAGATAAAGTTTTACATGTTTGTAGTGTGATCATATGTTTTTCAGCAACTATTAAAGGACACTTATTAAATGGACAACTATTAAATAAGGGACATTTTCAACATGGCATGTAAATCTAAAGTCATGAGCTATATGGTCAGTAGAACAAATTATGTACATAGAATATTATCAAGTTCCATATTTATACCACATTAACAATGATCATTGTGAAATTGTTAGTATTAGATTGGCATAAATTTGGCAACATAGTAACTACCTATAAAAGACATAAGAGAGTTGAATAAAACAAAAAATTCAGTTCCTAGCAACTACACTATTAGGAGACTTGGTATGACCCATATATACATGTAAAATTCTTACATGTATTTCAGTCTTACAAAGATTGAATTATAGCTTGATCAGATTCAATAAAGTTGATTTTTATGTGTTTTCCTATCTCATGCACATAGTTGACTTGTATCTCTGGAAGCATGCTAGACCTTGAAATTGATGCTGCTTACCTGGGCACTCCCTGGGAATCTGATACCAAAGTCAAATGGTCTTGGGTTTTAATACTGGCTCAATTACTCAGACTATGTAGCTTCAAACAAACCTTCAGAACATTTTTCTATTTTTATGTTGAATCATTTTTTTAACATCATTCTTCATTTTGTACATTCTTTCATCTCAGTTGTAATCCCTGTGAATTTCCCACCAAGTCACCCATGTTGTGTGCATTCTCTGCACACAATTTTGATCCTATTCCCCTAACCCCCCTGCAGCATGTCTCTGGTTTATAGTTGTTTATTGACTTTTGTTTTTACTTTATTATAATTCCTTTTTTTCCCCCTGATCCCTTACGCTCCTACTGTGAGTGAAACCATCCAGTATTTATATCTTTCTGTTTTATTTCACTAAGCATGATTCCTTCCAGCTCCATCCATGTTGCTGCAAAAGACATGAGTTTATCTTTTTTGATTGCTGAGTAATATCCCATCGTGTATATGTACCACATCTTGATGCAGTCATCTACTTTTGGGCATCTTCCCTATTGTAAATAAAGCAGCAATAAGCATAGGGGTGCAAGTGTCATTTTGAATGAATGTTTTTGTGTCCTTCGGGTAGATCCCAAGGAGTAGGACTGCTGGATCATATGGAAACTCCATTTTTAGTAGTTTGAGAAACCTTCAAACAGCTTTCCATAGTGGTTTTACCAGTTTGCATTCCCACCAGCAGTGTACGAGAGTTCCTCTTTCTCCACATCCTCTCCAACATTTATTGTTGCTAGTTTAACACCTGCCTTTCACACTAGTGTGACATGATATCTATTGTGGCTTTGATTTGCATTTTTCTTATAAGTGATGTTGAACATTTTTTCATATGACTGTTGGCCATTTGCATTTCTTCTTTGGAGAAGTGTCTTTTTAGCTCTTCTGCCCGTTCAACCCATTATTTTTGTTGAATTTCATCACCTCTTTGTATATCTTTATGATCAGTCCTTTAATATTGGTACAAAAATTTTCTCCCAATCAGTGGGGTATCTCATTTTTGTGTAATAGAAGCTCTTAATTTGATGTAGTCCCAGCTGTTTGTCCTTTCCTTCACTAGCCATGCTTTGGGTGATGTTACTGAGCTGTATGTCATGTAATGTTTTGCCAATATTTTCTTCTAGTTTATGATTTCAGATCTTATGTCTAGTACTTTAATCCATTTTTATGTCTAGTACTTTAATCCATTTTGAGTTGATTTTTGTGGGTGGTGTGAGGTAATCTAGTTTCCTTTTTTTGCACATAGCTCAGTTTTCTCAGCAACATTTGTTTGAACACTCTTTATTCCATTGCATATTCTTTGCTCCTTTTTCAAAAATTAGCTGACATAAAACTGTGGTTTTATATCTGGGTTTTCTGTTCAAATCCACTGGTCTGTATGTTTGCTCTTATTCAGAACCATGCCGTTTTGACTATTATGGCTTTGTAGTATAGTTTGAAGTCTGAGCATATGATACCTCCATTCTCTTTCCTTTTAGTCAGGAGAGTTTTGGCTAGTCGAGGTTTTTTATGGTTCCATATAAATTTCATTGATATTTGTTCTATGTCTTTAAAGAATGTTGTTGAGATTTTTATTGGAATAGTGTTAAACTGTAAATCATTTTTGGTAAGATGTCCATTTCAATGATGTTAATTCTTTCAGTCCATCAGTAGGGGAATATCTATTCATTTCTTTGTGTCTTCTTATAACAATGTTTTGTAAGTTTCTGTATGTAGGTCTTTTACCTTAACAGTTTATTCCCAAGTACTTGATTTTGTTGTTGTTGTTCAACTGTAAAGAAGGATGGCTTTTTGGATTTCCACTTCTGACTGGTTGTGTATAGGAAAGTTACTGACTTTTGTGTTGATTTTATATCCTGTCATTTTACTAAACTGGTTAATTGGTTTGATTGGTTTTTCTATAGTATTTTTAGGGTTTTCCATGTAAGTTATAATATCATCTGCAAATTTAGTTTTACTTATTTCCCTATTTGGACCCCTTGTATGTCTTTTTCCTGTCTTATTGTTCTGGCTAGGACTTCCAGTATTATGTTGAAGAGCAATCATAACAGTGGACACCCTTGTCTTTTTCCTGATCTTAAAGGAAAGTCAACTTTTCTCCATTAAGGATAATATTGTCTGTGTGTTTGTCATATGTGGCTTTTATCATGTTGAGGTATATTCCTTCTATTCCAAGAATTTCCAAGGCCTTCATCATAAATGGATGTTGAACATTGTCAAATGCCTTCTCTGCATCTATTGCTATTTTTATATGGTTTTTATTTTTCTGTCAGTTAATGTGATGGATTACATTAATTGATTTTTGGATGTTGAACTATCCTTTTGCTCCTGGAATAAAATCCACTTGGTCATGGTGGATTATTCTTGTAATACATTGTTGGATTCTGTTGGCCAAGTTTTTGTTGAGGATTTTTGCATCAATTTTCATTAGGGAGATTAGTGTGAAGTTGTGAAGTTTCCTTTTTTGTGTTGTTGTTAAGTTTTGGTATTAGTGTGATGGTGGCTTCATAAAATGCATTCGTTAGTATTCCCTTCTCCATTTTTTGAATGAGTTTATGTGGAATAGACACTAGTTTCTGAACATTTGTTATAATTCATTCGTAAATCAAGCTGGTTATGGGCTTTTGTTCTTAGGTAGGGTTTTAATTACTGCTTTAATTTCACTGCTTGCAATTGGCCTGTTTGGTTGTTCTATTTCTTCTTTATCTAGCTTTGGATGATTTTGAAGTTGTGGGAATTTGTCCATCTCTTCTAGATTGTTGAACTTGTTTGCATATAGCTATTCATAGTATTCTCTGATTATTCTTTTGATTTCTGCTGTGTCTGCTGTGATTTCTCCTCTCCTGTTTATTCTTTGTGAGCCTGGCTACAGATTTGTCTACTTTGTTTATTTTTTCAAAGAACCAACTTTTGGTTTCATTGTTTTTTTTTTTTGGTTTTTTTTTTTTTTGGATCATTTTCCTAACTGCTATTTCATTTATTTCTGCTTTGATTTTTATTATTTCCTGTGTTCTGCTGGCTTTTGGGTTTTTGTTGTTGTTGGTCTTTTCCCAGTTCTTTAGGGTGGGAGGTTAGGTTGTTTCTTTGAGTTGTTTCTTGTTTCTTTATGTGAGCCTGTATTGCTAAATATTTTCCTCTAATAGCTGCTTTTAATGTGTCCCATAAGTTTTGGAGAGGTGTAGAGGTGTGTCCTCATTGACATTTTTTAATTTCTTGTTTGATCTTCTCATTAATCCAGTGTTCCTCCAGTAGTGTGGGTTTCAATCTTCATGAAGTAAGAAGGTTTCTTGTCTTCTTCACATGGTTTATTTCTAGTTTGATTCCTTCATGGTCAAAGACAGTTGGTATGATTCAATCTTAGTATTATTTATTGATATTTGTCTTGTGTCTCAATATGTGATAAATCCTTGAGAATGATCCTTGTGAATTTGAGAAAAATATGTACTCAGATTTTTGGGGTGCAGTGTTCTATAGATGTGTGTTAGGCCCATGAGGTCTGGGTCATTGTTTAAAGCTTTAGTGTCCATGCTTATTTTTTGTCTTGTTGATTTATGTATTGATATCTACTACATATGTATTTTCCCTAATATATGTTTTCATAGATGACATAATATACATAATATACCTAGTATATTTAGATGATCCTTCATTTGGTGTGTATATATTGATGAGTGTTATTTCTTCTTGCTTTATTGTCCCCTTAATCATAATACTAATGTATAAAAAGCCACATGTTCACTTTCTTCATAGTCCCAAGAGCTGTGTTCTTTATCCTCTTCCTATAACTATTCATTTACTCTAATAGTCATTGATAATTGGTATGTTAAAGTGATGTTTTTATTATAGTTTTACTACTTTTTTTTCACATACACATATAACCTATGCTGTGTGTACCTGTCTAGTGTGTCTCTTCAGTTCCTTTCAGACCCAGTGCATCAGTACCAACTGTATTCCCTGAGAACTGAGGACATCTGCAGGGGAAAAATCTTAGAGTGGAAAGTCATGCCCATCATAGATTTAAGAATTTGATATCTCTAAAATACCCCTTGCCCTTCTTTCTGTCATTCTCTCTACACCTCCATAAGCTGCTTTGGTTAATGATGCCTTGTGGAAAGCCCTATGTGAAAGTATATTTGGCAAGGATGAAGGTATATGAACAAACCTGGTTTAAGTATGTTTGCATATTTATCACATAGTTCCTTGATTCCATCACATTTTCTGCCCTCCTGATTTTCTTGAATTGCTGAATTCTTTCTATTATAAAATGGGACCCTCTTGTAAGAACCCACCTGACAATGTAAACATCTCATAGATTGAACTACCTTGAAATATCCTCATGTAAGATGTCCCAACTGGCCTTTATGATGGCATGAGGACACTGGTCATATTAGGAATACAAATTTAGTGAAGAGGGAGTTAGGTCTAACAAAGTTTCACATCTCCCACCCTCTTAGCCTTTCATTTGGTACTTCACCTGTCAGTCCCATACTACCTCATTGATTTAGTAATGGGTTTCTATAAAAGTTATGTTTCAGACTTAGCACCTATTGGTTTAACACTTCACTATTTTTAGCCTTTAGGAGCTAGCTAAGGGAATGAGGCAAGAGAAAGAAGTAATAGGCAGGTTAGCAAAAGAAAAGTAAAATGGATTTCTATTTGCAGATGATACAATTATATATAAATATATAAATACTGGTTATTAGAAACAACCAGTTTCTTGTGTAAATTGCTGTATACAGTTTTACTAAAAAAAATTCTTTAAACCAATAATAGTGAAGTTTTAGAGCTACTATTTACATTAGCAATCAAACATTAAATACTTAACATTACATTACAAAGTGGAAGAATCTCTATAGAAAATTGTAAAACCTTATTGGATAAAATTAAATTTAATGATAATGACAAAATTGTTGACTGAAAGAGTCAATATTAAAGATAATAATATTCCACAGTGATTTCTATATTAGTGGGGGAATTGGGGAAAGAAAGTGAAGTCCACAGAAGCAAGCCCAATTATAAAAAAATTAACTCATTTTATTATTGAACAACAAAATACCATATCCCATATAAGCTACAAATGGCTATAAATTTGTAGTGGCTTTTTATCCCTTTATATAATTATGTAGTGCTAGAAATCATCCTGCTGTTTGTAAATCGCATAAAATTCAATTGTCATCCATGGTTGCATTGTGCTATGCAGTTTTGCAAATTCTCTATGAAACTTA